GGATAGTCTCAAGACAAACCTGAACAATACCAAATCGACCTCCTCACCTGGGAGACGATTACTTCACATCTCAATGCTTGGAGGAGCACCACACGAGGTGTCAATACTTTCGAGTAAGCCCGACTGCAAACCGAGGCAGACAAGAGCCAACGCTCTAGCTTTTCATATATGCAACATGTGTAAACGACTCTTCCGGACCCGTATCGGCCTCTTTACTCAGTCTTTAGTCACCTCAAAACTCACCAATGAAGGTGACATCCCCTATAACTCATATCATTGTATCATAGCTGGATGATTGTCATACTCGATTCCGAGTGACAGCAAAGTAGTAAGCACAGGTAGTATCTTCAGAGTATAGAATGCCCAGTTGATGCACTTTATAATTACAGTAAAATTTCAGCTCAACTGATATGTACCAAATAGAATCTTCTACACAATGTTGAAAGATGAACCTTGGTTCTACCCTGTAAAATTTGTAGGATATAAAAGGGTTAATTTAGGCGTAAAATGGTATATTTTCTACAAAATATCCCTTGACATGTAAAATGCCCCCATTTTTTTGACATGGTAGGGTATATTGCTGACGATAAAACCCTTTTGCAATTGGTTCTTACATTATTGCCTGTGTGTTATTTTTTGTCTCGAGATATCTTCGATCCAATCTTTGTGAAATGCTTGCAACATAACACTGAGTGTGTACCAAAACATCAATAACCATAAATTTTATTAGAATAAACTTTGTTTTATTGTGACATATGGCACATACTGTACGACACACTGCTTCTCATAATTAACATTGTAAACTAATGAGCTTAATAAAAGTTATTTTGGAATTAAAATAATTCCTGAGATACTTGTGTCATCTTGGTAAAATATAATCATGACGATGTGTGGGAAAAGAAGAAGGAAGTATTATTTTTATACTTTAATAACTTAACATGTAACACCCAATCTTAATGATCATGTTTAACCTAAATAACTCTATTGCACCCTGTACAAGAGGGGAAGAAGAAACAATTTAGTAAAACGTGAAAGAAAGAGATATAGGGGAAAGGAAGATTTAAAAGACCCTTGGTTTTAGCGTAATGCTGATTGGATAAGCCAGGTCGAGTTCATTGTTTTTGTTTCAGCTATTTTTTCGTAAAAACGGAATATTTTAAGTGAAAATGAGTTCGTCAGAGAGTGACAGTGCTTGTGGGCATGGTATAGAAAGAGAATTCATGACCAGTCGTTGTGGAAAATGACTATGGCAAAATGGTAACATAATGTCGCGCGTGTGTGCCAAAGGTCGGGGTCGAGAATCATGTTATACTCGGTTGCGCATGGTGTTGCCACCGATAATGTTCGCGGTACTGCTCGCAACCACGGTATAACTTAAAGACGTAAGAGACTGCCTTACCCAAGATGGTGTCACTGAACGGTGGAGGAATAAACTGTATACAAACACTTTATGAGGAAGATAAGTGGCGAATTATTTTCGTAGGGTATATCGAGGTGAAGAAATTGATATACCCTTTAACAGCATAAGGGTTTTCAATATATTGATTTTTATATACCCTTTTGTAGGGTAAGGGTTTTGAGAATGATAATATACCTTTTACAGAGTAAAGGTTTAGAGAATGATACTACTGTATACCCTTTCTATTGGTAATCGTATACCCTTAAAAGAAGGTGCATCAGTACTGACAATAAGTCAGGCTAAATCATCATGTACTCGTACTTTAATAAACTTACATTAACTTTATCATGATACAGTCAATTAAATTTAATAAACAATATATTTCACTCGCCCATAACAAGAATCAACAACTAGCAGTAGGCTATAATCAAGTAAATCACGTTACACTCTGCAAACATCATGTACTCGTACTTAATTAATCAAGCTGATATACTGAACTCACAAATAAAAATTAAGCTTATAAACTTAATTACACTAACACTTTAATCTATTAGTATAATTGAATAAAGCACAACACGATTATATTCGAAAATGGATATTATTAACTGTAGCTTGATATTCTCAGCTAAAAAATCATACAAAATATCACAAAAAAAGAATACAGTAATTTAACAGGATATACATAAGACGAAATCGACATAGGCTGAGGTCAGTGGTTTGAAAGTCAACATGGGCAGCCTTCTACAATACCACCCCCAATGTCACAGGAGCAAGTTCTCGGCAGCCTCTTACAATACCACCATAAGTGTCACAGGCAGCTTCCTGCAATGCAACCGACACCACTATTGTACCAGCAACAATATTGCATTGGCCTCTTACAATATCACCACCACAATCAGTCCCAGGACTGAGTCACAGTAACCTCCTGCAATACCGCCACCACAGCCAAGAATTTAAGTAACGGCGGGATTTTGCTGTACCACCACCAACACTACCACCAATGTCTCAGAACTGAGGTAATGGCAGGCTCCTTCTGTACGACAACCATTACCACCATCATCAGTGTCACAAAAGAAAGTCATAATGGTGGTTTCTTATGTATCACTGTGAGACACCATCACAAGATTGTTATTTAATTTAGCTATTGGCACAGTTTACCTAAGTAAAGGACAATTATATTATAGGACATTAGTATTTACAGAACTAAAGGTAGGTTTGAGACTTTGATACTACATAGTTTCTCAGGTTCTCTATAGTCATATTCATAAGGTTAGAACGTTAGCTCGTGCGATGCTGACCAAGGCGCCACCGAGCCGTCTCTCTGTACGCGTTAGAATTGTTTGATAGTCTTTTCACTGGCTGAGACGTTACACAGACATATATCACCCTCACCGCTGGCGAGGTCTTTTTCTCGGCAGGCTCTGTACACAATATTGTTAATGCAAAGAAAAATCTGACATTTCTATATATCATCCCTTCTACAATAAGTGAAGAGGGGATTGGAGTTCGAGTGTGTTTAAAGCTATGGACTAAGGTTATACCCGTGACCAAGAAGAAAGAATACTTATCAGACAAAGCCGCTCTTCCCAGAACCAGTTCCCCACTCATAGCTTCTGTGATGCTAGATATTGAATAGTTGGAGCCGCATGGTTTTTACCCTACTAACCCTAAGCTTAAGATATTCTGTCTAGTCGAACCATCCACGGTGAAGGCTAGAGGGATTATTGCTGATTACACACTGCACCAGTCGTGATGGGATTGTAAAACTTTACCTGGTCAGTAAATCCTCATTCCACCAACGTCTCCGGCATGGTACGAGAATTGTAGCATTCTCTTCATTGAAGGGCGTCATTCGGGAAAGAAAAATCAATGATTTTCGAGTCAACATTGTTAATGCAGTGCCTAACGTTCTTACCTCACAGTGTGATACTGAACAGAGTTCTGTAACTGGAGCCCCAGAACATTACCTGTAATAGATGCATCCGGTAGGAGTCACTGTAGCCTTACTTACACTGTTGGACTTGCTCAATAAGTACAACTCTGCATTAGCACTAAAAGGGGAACCTTGGCACAGACATATCTTGTACAGCACCACATTAATTTGCAACCTGGCTCTAACCCAATATACCAGCATACCGGCTCCCTCATTCACAGAGAGCTACGGTAGACAAGTGTGTGTGTGTGGAGGATATGTTGTCACAAGGGGTAATTCAGGCTTCTAATTTACCTCAGAATTTTCCTTTATTACTTGTCCCTAAGTCAGACAGTACCTGGAGGCCACGTGTAGACTTTCGCCGTCTTAATCGAGTAACGATCCCTGATTGCTTCCGTTTACCAGTTTTAGAAGACCTTTTCAGGAGTCTTGGACATAGTAAAGTATTCTCGACCTATCAGGTTTCTAGCAGGTGGCGTTAGACGAGCAAAGTTGACCCTTAACGGCATTAAGTACACCGTCGGGACACCGAAAATTCCTATGCATGTCTTTTGTTCTTCACAACAGCCCAATAACCTTCTCATGGCTAATGATGAGTATTTTCCACTCGATTCTAGGGACAGAAGTCTTCGTGTATCTGAATGATACAATTGTCATGTCTCCAGACCTGTCCTCACACCTTGTGAGACTAGAGCATGAGTTAGCCAGACTTCAAGCAGCTAATTTAAAGCAAATGTTATCAAAGTCTAAATTTCTACAACCTAGAATACAATACTTGAGACATGTAATCTACCAAAACGGGTCAGTGTTGACACCAGTAAAGTAGAGGCTATAAGTAATTATTCTGTTCCAAAATCTGTTGATGATGTCCTCTGGTTTATAAGTATGACTGGATTTTATAAATCCTTTTTTAAAGAGTTTTCTAAAATTGCTCTTCCTTTAACTAGTTTGTTTAAAAAATTCTTATAAGTCGGAAAAACAGCCACATAATGCATTAGTTGAGCTGAATACTGCCCTACTAGAGCACCCATCCTTCGTTACCCAGATTTCAGTAAACCTTTTATGATAACTGCAGATGCCAGCTATAGTGGGTTGGGAGCTGTATTATCACAAGAGTTACCCATAGCATATGCTAGCTGTACCCTCTCTAAGTCAGAATAGAATTACAGTGTAACTGAATCAGAGGCTTTAGCTGTGTTATGGTCTTTAAAGAAGTTTTATTATTATGTGTATGGGTATCCAGTAGTGATAACCACCGACCACAAACCTCTTAGCAGTTTATTTAAAACTAAAGAGCTTACCCGCAAATTTGCCAGATGGTTTATTACTATACAAGAGTTTAAACCTTAAGTTAGGTATATAGAAGGAAAGCATAATTTCGTCACAGATGCTTTGTCCAGGCATGTAGCCTTAGCACAAGTGTTTACTTCAGTAGACATTGCTCGAGTATGTGCAGCACCGGAAGATAATCTCATGTGGTCACATACAGTATATTGTCTTTCTTATCTTATGTCAAAGGTATTTCTTCAATTTATAGATTAACTCTCCTGTTCCTTTAAGATAAGTTGTTGCTAAAGATAACGTTCTCTGCCATCGGACGAAGCTTGGTTCTCCTGCCCGCAACGTCACTCAGTTGGTAATTCCTGCTACGCCTGTACCAGAGTCGTAATGCATGACACACCGCAAGTAGCTCACCCTCGTAAGGACACGTTAAAGTATTTCTGGCCCAGTATGTATGCTCGCATCCAGTACCTACTCAACCTTAGGAAAGGGTCAGTATGGATGTTCAAGGTGGTCTCGTAGAGACTCACCACTATAATAAGTACCTCTTAGTCATGGTCGATGTTTTTCCCTGTTACTGCAAACTTGCACCTTTCCCTAATACCCAGGCAAAAGCAATTGCCAAAGACTTTAAGAGACAGGTTCTCGACAGGCATTGTACTCCTAGCATTCTACTCACCGATAACGGCGGCGAGTTTAATAATGAATTGTTAGCTAAGTTGTGTGATTTATATCACATTAATAAATGTACCATTACCTCTTATCACACAGCTTCAAATGGGATGGAAGAGTGTCTTAACAGGAAGATATTTAATCGTCTTCGTACTAACGAGAACTTCACTCACATGAACTGGGATGAATGCATGTCTGATGTGCAGAGTTTCATTAACTGTTCATATTATCATTCTATAGATGATGCATCTCATTTTGCTCTCTATCATTATGATAAAAGACTTCTATTTGAGGCCGAGATAGGGAAACAGCCACTGTTAGGTGAAGAATTTGTGAGAGAAACAAGCAGTCTAAACTCGTCCACCTGCAAATTACGTCTGAATTAGACGAATAGACTGACACTTTCACCACAGAACGTAACAAACATACCTGACCAATAAGTGACATAGTAGGTCGCTTAGTAATGGTCAAGAACTATGTAAGGACCAAACTTGATAAACTATTTAGTGACCCTTATAGAGTTGTGCAAAATGTTTCAGGTCACAAGTACAGTCTCACCCAAAAGTTCGTTAACTCTCCCAGCCAACTATTGCTGCACTGCCTGCTTCAGATGTTTGAAACTGTCTCAGTACCAACCAGAACATGAAACCGATAGGAATGAATCTAAAGGTTCGAAGCAACAGACTCAAGTTCATACATCTGAATCAGGCAGTGCGGCAATAGCTGGCTTGGAGAGTTAACAAACTTTTGGGTGAAACTGTGCCAGTTGAATCACATACACGCAGGACAAATACGACACGAACATGGGGACAATGTGAAACTACTCACGTACCGGGAAGAATCCCTAAAACATAATGTTATTGAACCTAGTACTTCACCTTCTCCTGCAGACCCTCACAGGTATACTTTGCTGGGTAGGTCAGCCTTTTGTTTGCGCTTATGAAGGTCATTGTTGTACTAATGTGTAAATTTCAATAACAGGACCTTTATGATTAATAACTGCTGTTTAATAACTCCTCCTGAGATTGTCATTATGATACGACAATTTTTTGCCATACGAGTAGAGTGTGAACCTCTGCTGAGTATTGTAATCACAGTGTCTTAGTTGTCTAGTGACGTGGTTCCTCTCACGAAACAGATTAACGAGTCTACTGTGGACCCCACTCCCATATCAGCTACCACAACATAACCACAACACCTTCTCCTCTAGCTACTCCTGTTTATAGTGAAAAGAGTGAAAAGAAGAGAGGTCCCATAAATTTCATTGGCTACGTTCAGAAATATTTGTACTGAGTAACCACAGAAGATGACTTAGCCTGGGACCAGAAACAAATTGGACAGCTTAAGGTTCAAGCCAATCAATATTCTCCTTTTAACCACAAACACCACTTTCATCATCATTGCCATCACTATAAACACCACCATCATTGCCATCACTATAAACACCACCATTATTGCCATCACTATAAACACCACCATCATCATCATCACCACCACCATAAACACCACCATCATCATCACCACCATTATCATCACCACCAATACAAATACCACCACCATCATCACCAACACCACCGCAACACCACCATCATCATCACCACCACCATCACCATAAACACCATTTTCACTATCACCACCATAATCGTCATTACCACCAACACAGTCAACATCCCCACCACCACCACCACCAACACAGTCAACGTCACCACCACCACCACCACCAACACAGTCAACATCACCACCATCACTAACACAACCATCATCATCATCACCACTACCACCAACACAGTCAACATCACCATTACCACCAACACAGTCAAGATCACCACCATCACTAACACAACCATCATCACGACACCACCACCAACACAGTCAACATCACCACCATCACCAACACAACCATTATCACCACCACCACCACAACCACCAACACAGTCAACATCACCACCATCCCTAACACAACTATCATCACCACCACCACCAACAACATAGTCAACATCACCACCATCACCAACACAACCATCATCATCGTCCAGCACCACCACCAACACAGTCAACATCACCACCACTACCAACACAGTCAACATCACCACCATCACCAACACAACCATCATCGTCACCACCACCACCAACACAGTCAACATCACCACCATCACCAACACAACCATCATCACCACCACCACTACCACCAACACAGTCAACATCACCACCATCACCAACACAACCATCATCACCACCACCACTACAACCAACACAGTCAACATCACCACCATCACCGACACAATCCTCATCGTCACCACCACCACCAACACAATCAACATCACCACCACCACCACCACCAACACAGTCAACATCACCACCATCACCAACACAACCATCATCGTCACCACCACCACCAACACAGTCAACATCACCACCATCACCAACACAACCATCATCACCACCACTACCACCACCACCAACACAGTCTACATCACCACCATCACCAACACAACCATCATCACCACCACTACCACCACTACCACCAACACAGTCAATATCACCACCATCCCTAACACAACTATTATCATCACCACCGCCAACACAGTCTACATCACCACCATCACCAACACAACCATCATCACCACCACCACCACTACCACCAACACAGTCAACATCACCACCATCCCTAACACAACTATCATCATCACCACCGCCAACACAGTCTACATCACCACCATCACCAACACAGTCAACATCACCACCATCACCAACACAACCATCATCGTCACCACCACCACCAACACAGTCAACATCACCACCATCACCAACACAACCATCATCACCACCACTACCACCACTACCACCAACACAGTCTACATCACCACCATCACCAACACAACCATCATCACCACCACTACCACCACTACCACCAACACATTCATTATCACCACCATCCCTAACACAACTATTATCATCACCACCGCCAACACAGTCTACATCACCACCATCACCAACACAACCATCATCCCACCACCACCACTACCACCAACACAGTCAACATCACCACCATCCCTAACACAACTATCATCATCACCACCGCCAACACAGTCTACATCACCACCATCACCAACACAACCATCATCACCACCACCACCACTACCACCAACACAGTCAACATCACCACCATCCCTAACACAACTATCATCATCACCACCGCCAACACAGTCTACATCACCACCATTACCAACACAACGATCATCACCACCACCACCACTACCACCAACACAGTCAACATCACCACCATCCCTAACACAACTATCATCATCACCACCAACACAGTCTACATCACAAACCATCACCAACACAACCATCATCATCACTACCACCGCTAGGACCAAAATCACGGCGACCTCCTGCAGTATCAGGACCATAGGTTACCAAGGTTATGGTGGTCTCTTAAACACAATGTCTGGAGTGTTCAGTTGATATGCTCATCCTCACATGAGCCTCAACTCCATAATTGAGCTTTATTAAAGATAGTGGAATACCATTGTAATTATATACTTATGCTGTTATTTTACTAGACCAAGTCCAACGCCAAAGGGCTGGAGTGAACACAACGAGGAATGGACTCCATTGCAGGGCTCCTATGGTGAAATTATCTCACGCTAATATTGAGTAGTTCCGCTCACCTCTCACAAGCCGTTTCACTATCCTAGTGTTGAGACAAATGGCAGCAACATGTGGTACGATACATTCCGAAGTAGTGATTCTAAAGAACCCTGTTATAAATTAGCAATGTATAAATCATAAATATTACAACCCATATTGTATTAACGATAAGACTGACAGAGATAAGAATATTAACTATGACAATTACAACAAAGTAATTAATCTTTGTTTAAAAGGATATAGTTAGATATTATCCCGATAGGAAATCAGTGTAAGGTTTAGGAGAAGAGTGTTAGTGTGTTGAAGAAGACTGCTATTATAGAGGAGAACGCGCCTTAGGTCACGGTGCAGCGGGGTAGTCTTATCTATATCTCAGAGGGAGGTAACTGGCCAGACACCAATGCTGGATCTTGAAGGTGATACACCAGGCTGTAGCACCACCATTGCTTTAGCAAACAACCTCACACACAGTCCTTCGGAGATTCTACAACAAATGCTAACTTTGTTAATTTATTAATAGAAATATCTATTGGCACGAAATGCCACACCGATGTGTTCATTATCCGTTTATTAGCTATTAATGGGACTCTGCTATCCCCAATTGCTTTTAATCATTTCTTTGTCTCTCTTACACACACACACACACACACACACACACACACATATATGTGCACTGCAGCTCTCGTGTTATCATTACAATTATAGTAAGGCTGAAAGTATTAATTAGTTTTTAATGAATGAGGTGTCAAATTGTACTTGGACATTAATTAACCAATTGCGAATTTTCTTATTTTTTACGCTACGATATTGCTAGATGGGTGGATCAAAAACTCTTACTCATGTCCAACATAAAAATTAGAAATATGTCGTTACACTATGACTAATCAGAAGTTTCCCAAAAAGACAAAACATCATTACTTGTAGCTAATCGGCAATCATTCCTATTTATTATGACACACACACACACACACACACACATACACATACACACACACAATCCTTCACTCCATACGTTTTTGACATTTTTGGGCCGTTTTTACCAATCCTCCAAGATTTCGTATCTCTCTGGGGACCCACTCACCCCTAATTATATGACCAAAGTATCTCATATTTCTTTTTCTGTACATTTCAAGTAATTCTCTTGAAGTTTTTACTAACCTTACAACTTCTTAATTTGTTCTTCGCTCAATATAACTTACTCTTAACATCCACACCATAAATAAAGCTGCCTCCCGAAAGCCAGAAATATTGTACAGATGCCGTAGCTACTTCACTCCTGAGCAGTTGCTTCAGGTATATTAGGGATTCATTCGTCCTGACTTGGAGTACTGCTCTCATATCTGGGGTGGCTCTTCTTCTGTCCAACTGTTAGATAGAGTAGAATCAACGGCATTTCGTCTTATTACTTCTTTTTCTTTAGTCAATAATCTCTTCCCTCTCTCTTTGCTGCAATGTTGTTTCACTCTCTCATTTACACGTACTTTAACGGGCAATGTTCGACAAATTTGTCATTTTGTACCTTCGGCACGGCACCGTTGTGTGTGTGGATGTCGGTCCTAAGAATAAGCCGTTATAGTACATCCTTCTTTCCTCACACAGCCAACGTGTGAAATTATTTGCCTTCTTCTGTGTTTCCATCCTCTTACAATCTGTTTCACTTCAAAAAGCTGGTTTTCCGGTATGTTTGTCTATATTGCCTCCAATTTGTATTATTATATTTTACCCCCCCCCCAGGCCCCGTTGTGGGTCAATGACCTGTGCCCGGGTGTGCCATTCCATTCCCCATAAAAAAAATAACATTTCAAAGGCCTCCGACCTCTTATTGGTGTCTGCTTAAAGTGTCCATGCTTCTGACCCGTACTGTACATCAGTCCATTCCATATACAGTATAGCCATTCGGCAGCCTTTTCTCAAATTGAAGTTAACATCCCTTTTCATTTGGTCTTTTAAATTAATAAATGCTGTGTTTTCTTGACCTATTCTGGTTATGATTTTATTCATACATCTACCATCACAGCTAATGTTACTTCCCAAATACATAAAATTGTCCAATAATTTACGGTCCCTGTTGTCTACCATAATTTTTACTTGAGGATTCATTTCAATTTGGAAACACCATTACGTTCGTCTTTACAGCATTAACCCATATTCTTCATTTTTTTCCACTAATCTGCTAACCAGTGTTTTGTAACGCCTCCTTAGTATCTGCATACCGGATAATTGATATTACTTCGTCATTAATTTTTATGACATTATTGTCACTTATAATGTCACTCATTAAGAATTCTGAATATATATTATACAATGTTGGAGATAGAACAAAACCTTATCTTACTCCCTGTCTAACTGTGAACCAATTAGTAAGTATATTATTTACTAACACTGCAGCCTCCTGTTGCTAGTGAAGATTTTATAGAATTCTAATATCTCCTTCAGTATTGCCTATTTTTTCCTAGAACTCTATTAATCTATTGTGTTTTACCTTTTCAAAATATTTTCCAAAATCAACAGAACATATATACTAATTTCTTTGGACCTCTAAAGCCCTTTCACTTACAAATTTTAAAACCAGAAATAACTGTTCTAGTCCCTTACTGTCTATTTTGAATTATGTTATTTAAAAATTATATTTAAAAAAGTTTGCAGGAATGACTTATTAATCTAACGGTTCTAAAATGGGTGCACTCTAAAGCTCCTGTTTTTATAGTGTAATAATACACACACACACACATTATATATATATATATATATATATATATATATATATATATATATATATATATATATATACAATCAACACCTCAACCCGCCAGGATTCGAACCCACGGCCCACGAGCCCATGACTGTGACGGGGGAACGTTAACCGCTGAACCACCAGGATACAAAAGCAGTCCTAGACTCTGTCATATTTGACACAAAGCCTGTTCAACGAGCTTATGGCGCCGTGAACCTCTAATGGGGACTACCCGTATCACGTAGGTGGTCAGAGTAACGTTTTACCAAATCCGGCTTCGAAACACGAGGATCCATATATATTTCATTAGCCCAACAAACACGCGGACTTCTACATACACTCAACACCTCAACCCGCCAGGATTCGAAACCCACTGCCCACGAGCCCATGACTGTGGACGGGGAACGCTAACAGGATTTGGTAAACGTTACCTGACCACCTACGTGATAATCGGGTAGTCCCCATTAGAGGTTCACGGCGCCATAAGCTCGTTGAACAGGCTTTGTGTGAAATATGACAGATTATAGGACTGCTTTTGTATCCTGGTGGTCCAGCGGTTAGCATTCCCCGGTCACAGTCATGGGCTCGTGAGCCGTGGGTTCGAATCTCAGCGGGTTGAGGTGTTGATTGTATGTAGAAGTCCGCGTGTTTGTTGGGCTAATGAAATATATATATATATATATATATAAATATATATATATATATATATATATATATATATATATATATATATATATATATATATATATATATATATATATATATATATATATATATTTCATGTAATCCACAATGAAAACGCGGATAAGATAAATCTTGATAAAATCACACGGAAAATGGAAACAACGGAGTACCTTATTTCGTCTTTTATATATATATATATATATATATATATATATATATATATATATATATATATATATATATATATATATATATATATATATATGTATATATGTATGTATATATGCAAGTAAATCACTGTAGGTGCGCGTGATCCAGGTACATGCTGATAACCACAAGGAAAAAGAAAACACCAAGTTCCCAAGCGCTTTCGTGTAATTCACATCTTCAGGGGTGAGTACAGACTAAGGAGAAGTACAAAACAAGGTGAATATATACAGAGGTGACAGGATAAAGCCCCAACGGACAAAACCCCAGTCTCATATATAAAATATAAAATAAAACAATTTTATGTTTAGGTTAGGTTAGGTTAGTGTTGATAAATGACAACCCCGTTGGGGTTTTGTCCATTGGGGTTTTGTCATGGAACCATATACAGAGGAGGGTGAGATCAAGTCCACAATGATCAGGTATTAGGTAATGACCCTACGGTCGGTAGTCAGGTCAGAGGGTAAGGTGACCCAACCTTCTCACCTGGTTACAAATCTTCTTAATTGCAAAATTGTCCAGTTTGTACAAGCCATTACTCAAATTCATGTTGACTGCTTCGGTATGTTTAATGAGACTAGATTCTATAATGTTCCTACTGTCAATTGAATTACAAGGTAATATTGAGGAGGCATTATCCCAGTCAATGCAATGCTTATTATCTCTCAAATGAACAAACAGAGCATTGGATTCCTGGCCTGTCCAAACACTATATTTATGTTGTTTAAGTCTAGTTACAAGATCTTTACCTGTCTGGCCTAAGTAAAACATATTACATTCCTTGCAATGAACTTTATAAATGCAACCACTTGTGTTGTTGGGGGAGTTCTTGATTAACATTTGTTTAACAGTGCATGAGTTTTTAAATGCCACATTGACGTTCCAGGTTTTTAGTTGAGAGAAATTTTTGTGAAATGGTAATACTAAGAGATTCTTATGGTCATGGGTGGGCTTGGGATCGGTTCTATTTAAAGATTCTTAGTAATGTTCAGCCTCTTATTTGTCACCAAATATTCAGAATGAATTTATCTGTCTTCTAGGAAATAATGTTGAGGAAAATATATTGGCTGACATCAAGAAGGCCAAGTATTTTGGAATTCATTTTGACAGTACACCTGATATTTCTCATACAGATCAGATGTCCGAAGTGATTAGATATGTTCCTATTGAAGGTGATTCTGTTGAAGTAAGGGAATCTTTCTTGGGTTTCTTTCCTATTGCTGGAAAAACTGCAAGTGAGCTCACAAAGGATATCCTGAGTAATTTGGAGAGTGATGGACTGGACATTAACTTTTGCCGCAGTCAAGGGTATGATAATGTTGCAACTATGGCTGGTATTCATGGAGGTGTTCAGAAGAAAATCAAAGAAATAAATCCAAAGGTTTTGTTTTTGCCTTGAGCCAATCATTCCTTGAACCTTTGTGGGGTACACTCTTTTGGAACCAATCCTTTATGTGTAGCATTCTTTGGAACTGTAGAGAAACTTTATTGCTTTTTTTTCACTTTCAACTCACCGATGGGAAGTACTGAAAGAAAATATGAACCTGACAGTTAAAAGACTTTAACGGACTAGATGGAGTGCACATCATGAAGCCATAAAGCCTCTCAAGAAACAATTTGCGAAGCTGATCATAGCCCTGGAAGCATTGATGGATCAAAGAGAAAATGTTTACACAAGAGGATCAGCTGAAGTTTTGCTTAAAGCTGTATGTGATTTTTATTTTTTGGGTTACCGGGTATCTTTCTTTTTGGTGTGATGTACTGGATGAGGTGAATCTCACACAGAAGTATTTGCAAACAGAAGGAATAAGTCTTGAAAAGTGCACTGTAAAGCTCAATGGTTTGAAATTGTTTCTTCGAGGTCAGCGGAATGAAATTGTGGAGAGAGCGATTCAATATGCAACTACACAATGTGAAGAAATGGGCATCTCCATGGAAACAAGAGGGAGGATAAGACGTAAGAAAATGATGCCAGAAGAAATGGCTAGGGATGCTGGACTGACAATGCAAGAGGAAATGAGGAAATCAATGTTTGAATGCTTAGATCGATTTAGTCTAGAATTGGATGCTCGTTCAGAGGCCATGGATAACATCTTGTCAATATTTGCAGCTATTCAGCCAAGCTACTTGCTTTCTGCAAAAGAAGAACAACTTCAGGGGAGTATTTCAAATTCAAGCATGACCAAGATTTTTAATGAAATTTCTGATGAGGATGTCATGGATGAAATTATGCCACTTCGCAGACACATGGAGGCTGCCAAAATCACACCTGAAGAAGCAAATAAATGGACAGTCTTGCAGTTCCTGAAGTTTATTGTCAAATGAGACTTTTGTTAAACCTTGCCAAACTTATCATTGTGCCTGAGATTCTTTTTAACAATATGTGTGTCTGTTGCATCATGTGAAAGAAGTTTCTCTAAACTGAAACTCATCAAGAATTATCTTTGTTCTAGCATGACTCAGGCAAGATTGAACAGCCTAGCTATGATTTCTATCGAAAATATATGTATATATATATATATATATTTTTTTTTTTTTTTTTTTTTTTTTTTTTTTCGTTAGATGAAAGTATACCGCTTGTATCTCGTGGTTTCTTATGTTTTTAGAACAATCTGGTGCGATTGGTCAAGTTTCTGATAAAAGTGAGTTGAAGAAGGGTGCGCCCTTTTCATTGTGTAATACTTTATTTATTGTGTAACTTGTAGTTTTATACAGTATGGTTTCTGTACTTTGTATATTTGAATTCCTTGTATGTGCTTTGTTGTATTGTGTAAATTTTGTTGAAATTAGGAAATACATTTGTTTATATATACTGTAGATTTAATAAATATCATCCACATTAACAAACCTGCTTTTTATTTAAGAATATTACACTTGATGTAGGCTACATTATACTTTAGTAAAAAAAAATAATTTTCCATATTAATAGAAGGAAACTAAAACATTTATAATATTTGCTATGTATAATCCAAAATTCCTTAAAACTATTATTAATTTTTTTATCATTCGTCTCAGTAGAGGAAGAGTAAGGGGGCAAAGGAATGCCCTGCCCTGGGTGCCCAGTACTCTAGGGACGATTGTGTATTTTACTTTTACTGTATATTTATCCATCTCTGGAAGGAAGGGGGTGCCAGTGGATAGGTCCGCCCCGGGTGCCAAATACTCTAGGAACGCCCCTGCATAGGGCGGAGAAGAATTTAACAGTAGCTAACAGAGTGCTCCTTTTGCTGGCAACGCACGAGGGGAACGGGTGTCTCTGACAACTACCTACGTGGGACCAGCATCCTCACTTTGATCGGTGGTCGATCTGGTTCATCAAATCTCCCCACCTTGGTTCATACAACACCACATCTCTTCAGTCAGTCAGTGAAAAATCTTACTAACGGGAAAGTAGAACCCTTTCCTCAGCTGGGCAGGGTTCACCTGGTTACATAGAGAAATTCCTCTCCCCAGTATTGGGTGTATGTGATTAAAAATAACCAAGTCCAGGTGTGTAATCAACGCTCCTCATGGTTGATTGCACACGTGAGACGTAGGGGTTCTTCTTCAAAATTGGTAAAGGGCTGTAACACCATAAAATATGGGTGTATTCTGGGCATATGGGTGAAGCATGTTACGGGTGGTGGTGGTGAATTGTGATTAGAATAGCCAAGTCCAGGTGAGACATCAACGTTCCACATGGTTGATTGCACACGTGGGACGTAGGAATTCCTCTTCAAAAGCTTGTGGAAGGCTGTTGGTACCTTAAAGTACGGGTGCATTCTGAACCTATGTGTGAAGCATGTTACTGGTGTTGGTGGAGAAATACACTCATGACTCCTGAAACCTCGAGAGAGTAATGTAAAGAACAGCGGAGCACCCGCCTGCCTGACGGGTCATGAGTGATTTTCTCGGTTTCTTGTAAATGTCTGCCCCTTGGCAGGTTAGTAGTTACAACCTTCGTATTTTTTTTTTTTTTTTAAGGTTAAGGCGGGGAATGGATGGAAGGCATGCTGGTGCTCAAGGCACAGCCAGACATGAGGGATAGAGAAGTCACAACATATAGTCGTGGGAGGAAAGGTTGGAAAAGAAGCTTAGGCAATAGATAGGCAATCCTTCTTCCCTAGGCGATGGAACCTGATGTTAAGGACCTCTGTTTATTTCTTAGGTGGATGGTTTCCACTATCTCCTGGTAGGGTGGTGCTTGGCCACTGGCTGACCTAAGACACTTGTTTTTGAAAGCTCTGTAGTTGTTGTAGTCTAGTCTTCCCGAGTGTGATGAGTGGTATATGTGGGTACTCCAAAACAGGCCTCACCAGCGCCTTGTGCAGGTGAACTTGTATCTTCTCAGACATCAGTTTAAAACGTTTTAATTTGGTTGCGGCGACTTTAGCATTATTTAGTATGCCCTTCACGTGGGAAATGATGCCCGTCCGAGAGATGATGAGGCCAAGCAGCCTGCCGTGTTTAGAGTACGCAATTTCTTCTTTTTCGATCATCAATGGCGCGGGCTTGAATTTCGTTTTGTTTGTTTTTATTTCCCTTTTGTTTTCATACTCCGAGATATCCTCCATTGCCCGAGTAGTGAGTCGCGCCATCCTTGCTGTGGACGTTCCAGGGCAGATGACGATCTGTGTTACATCGTCGGCATACATGACGTACTCGCTGCCGACGATTGGGGGTGGCAGGTCAGCCGTGTAGAGCGTGTAAAGGGTTAGTGAGAGCCAAGAGCCCTGAGGCACGCCGCTCGAGAGTGAGAATTCTCCTCCAAAATGTTCTTGCATCTTGATTTTGGCTCTGCGGTCCGTAATGAAGTTGCACAGCAGGCGCTTCAGGTTTTCGGGTAGCCCCAGTTAAATGATCTTATACCGCAGCCCCGAGTGCCAAACTTGTCAAACGCCTTGCTGACGTCCCTCAGTACTATGTTGCACTGCAGGCGGCCAGTCATGGCATTGGCGATCTGCTCGTAGGCCTGGGCTATGGTGGTGGATGTGCCTCGGTACTGGTGGAAGCCGAACTGGCGGGGATTATGCAAGTGTTCGTCCTCCAGATACATCCGCAATCGCTTGTTTACCATTTTTTCGAAGATTTTGGCAGGTACCTCTAGCAGCATATTGGTCGAAAGTTTTCGACTTTGTTTGGAGGCTTCCCTTCTTTTGGTATGAGGCGAATAACGGCGATTTTAAACATCTTAGGGAAGTATCCATAGGCGAGGCAGGCGTTGCATATATGAGCAAGCCTCTCTATCATGTTGTAGGGGAGTTGAGCCAGGATCTTCTTGTTAATGTGGCTTTGCCTAGGTGAATTGTTTTTCAACCCTTTTATAACGGCTGACTCATCTGCAGGAACTATGCGCTCCGTCAATTAGCTTCCGTCCACCAGTCTAGTGAAGTCAGTCTATGGGAGCGGCTGGAGCAGGTGCTGATGGGCCTGCAACTGACCTAAAATGTAGTCCTCAAAGTCCCTGTCGAAGCTCTCGTTCTCCTGTTCACTAATGGTAAAGATCTTCCGTAAATATCGCCGATGTAGTTGTTCTTGGTTTTCCTCCTCGGATATTTTCACGTTGTTTTGGTCGAGCAGGTAAGGGACCGTACTAGAGGTGGAACTCATCAGTCGCTTGATTCCTTTCCAGAATGCAGTAGAATCGCGGTAATTGTTGGCTGCCTCCCACACCAAGGGTGCCCACTTTTGTTCATGTAGACGTTTGCTCTCGTGCTGGATGTCCGTCTGTAGCTCTCGGTACCGGTCTCTCAGCTCTTGTGTCCACCCGCGGATACTGGCTAGCTGTCTCACGTGATCGTACTGGACACTGAGCTGCCTCAGCTGGTGACTAGTGTGAGGATGGGGAATGGTCCTGTGAGTGGCGGTCGGGATGTTGTTGTCCATCTCCGTCTTCACATCCGTGTACCATTCTTCGCCCATGTCGTCGATGTCATTGGGGCTGGCTTCTTCCAGGTTTCTCCCCTGCTTGAGACTGAGAGACTCCTTGAAGGAGTCCCAGTCTGCCCGTTTGAGGTTTGACCTGATGTTGGCGGGGATCATAATGGGATTGGGTGAGAGCGTCACAACGACTGACAGGTGATCGCTGGTACTGATGGGTCCGGCGGTAACGTGCCTGTTCAGGACGGCCTCGTTGTTAGAGAGGATTAAGTCGGGTGTTGTGGCACTGGCACGTCTGATCAATGTCGGGAAATCTGGCCCGAGGTGTTGCAGTTTTCCCCTTCTGATGTTGTCATACAGCGCCACACCGACGTTGTTCTCATTACCGTGTCCGAATATGGCGTGGTTTTCTGTGGCGTAGCAACTGGTTGAGGTCTTATTCAGGTAATTAAGGACGTCTGGGAGGTAGGTACATTGTACATATGATAACAGATCCCCTAGTTGTCTCCACCTGCACTCCCAGAACTGAATCCTCGAAGTCTGGCAACACTCTGTGACTCAGCCGTGACCTGACGGCCACAGCGACACCATCGCTCAGCTCACCCGTCATCTTCCTCTGGTATACAGTGTAGCCAAAGATTTTCAGCTTACTTTCGTCCTTTATGACAGTACTGTTTAACAGAATGATGTGTGAGTCTAATTGATTGTATAAGTTAGACAGTTCGTTACGTCTATTAAGGGACCGGTATCGGACATGACGTTGGACAGTTTTCATCCTGCTAACGACTGCCATTTCGGAGACTGTAGCTTTGGGTGTCGCTTGAAGTGTTTGCTCAGATTTTGCCATTTTTAGTTGGACGGAACTTTTTTTCAGAACCTTCGGATATCTGCTTGTCAGTTAATGGCGGGCCCTCGAACTTCTCGTCACCCGTATACAGGAAGATGTTCAGGTCCTGGGCCTGCGTGTCGAAGTAATCTACTGACGCTGCAGCCCGAGGGTCTTGTTCCTCTGTGGAGTAAGTCGTCATCATCTGGTCACAACCATTGACTCCGGTTGCAGTCCGATGGTCACTGTCGTCGCTGGGAGTACATGTATTGGGGTCACGGAGATTTACGGTGTCGTTGGAGCTGTGTTCCCAGGGGGACTGACTGGCCACGTCGGGGCTACGGTTATACTGACTTTTGCCTAAGTCAGGGAGGTCATGGGCTATTTCTGGCGTGGGTTGAGGTCGTCGATAAGTTGTTGAATTGGTTACTGCCTTCAGGATTTCTTTTGAAGGGACTTTGTCGCTTTTTTCAACAGGTGCAATATTGTTCCTTGTTAGTGTCTCGTTGAGGTGTTTCGAGAATGAACCTGGATGAACCATGTTCATGTGATGGGCATGCAGGTAAGACAAGTATATAGTGGTGGCTTTGGACTCGTCCAGCTGTGGAGAGGAGAAGCTCCTGGTGCTCTCCACCACTGC